CCCGTGGTGGGCAGAGCACAGATAGCCCATTGTGTAGCTTTGTGCTTAATTACAAACAAACAAACAGAAACATCATAGAAGTTTTCTACTGGCTACAAGACACAGGTGCTTTCTCAGTTTCTGCATTTTTTTATCGAAGTAAAAAATATTTTAATCTTTTAAGAAAGCTTATCTCTCTCTCTCTCTAAACATTAGTGTGCATTTCATTTCCGATTAATGCAATTAAAGAAGTTAATTTTTTACAGTTAATCAGGCTGTTTACTGAATACATTAACAACTTTTTAAAGAAGATATCGTACAATAAATACAAAATATGTACTTAATCTGTTTAGAAAGTCTAGGGCAAACTAACTAGAAGAATTACAAAAAAAAAGAAAGAAAGAATTGTAAATAGTACAATTACAATTTTAATATTTCTTCTCTTAAATTTATTCAACATTCGCACACCTGTAATGTTCAGAAACATTTTACCCAAAAATATATGACATAAACGGCAACGTGGCGCGCATTGGTGGAGAAACCGGGTGATTATGACGTATCCTAGAGTAAGACACTTTGCGCCAGTCGATTCATCCTACCCATCTCTAAGATGGATACCAACTAGTAGCCGGGGCTAACATCACGTTCTAGGAGATGTATTACCATTCTCACTGGCTTGTGCCAATCAAGCTAGTTCAAGCATCCGATTCTAGGTATCATGTCGGCATGAGTGTGTTTTTGACATAAAATTAAAAAGCAGAATTGGCTTCAATTTTTATTTCCACGTAAGTACAACCAATCCCTAGCAAATACGGCTAATATTTAAATAATTAATTTAAAAAACACAATAAAAGTAACAACGTTCCACCGGCTTAGGTCATAATTGGTTAAGCATGAATTTGAAAAAGTGTTCGTTATTTATTACTGTCGTATGGACAATAATGATAGATATGAGATTGTAGGGGGCGTTTTATATATTTAATTGCATTTATTATATTGGTAGTCAACAGTGTAATATCCTACGTTAACACATTTAACGAAAATTAATATAGGTATAAGTGTTCCTTGGTGCTAGTTTAAGTTCTTGTATTAGAAGTTTCTTTAACTTTTCGTATATTTATATTTTCCTGTTTAATATATTAGTGCTTTTTATGTGTATAGTGTTTAAGTTGCAGTTTTTTATTCACTGAACCGAGTTTACATTTGTCGGTTGCATAGTAACAATGATAAATAATGGGTAAAAAACAAATAATGTTCTATTTGCGTATACAATTAAATTAAAACAGTGTGACATCACTCAGCAGAATGAACAATGAATACAACTGCCTTTATTGGAATAAACATCAAACGTCATTACAAATCATAGCCAGGTAATGTCTTCCAAAAATAGTACAAGTAAATGCAATATAACTCATTCAAATCCCTGCTGCCAAACTGCCATCATTTCTTTATTAGTGATTACATAAACAGTGACATATTTCTAACATTTGGGCATTTCATAACACAGAACCATATCTACCTATTAGAAATCAAGATTTTATCCTTGTGCACAACTAAGAATATCCAGTTTGATTTCTTTTCAGTGAAATGAGCTCAGTAAAAATCTGCCAATAATTTTACACATTCCTCTGTAAATTGCAACTGAACCTCTAACCAATATAACACCGTTGCCTTAAATACCAGACTTCTAGATGTTCTTGACTTTTTCCATCATTCAGTAGACTTTTACATAATACATTTTCACTGTATCCACTGGCATTATCTTCAATATTTATTAACCTAATTTCTGCAGGCAGCAAAGCTGCAGGGGATCAGTTTTGTACCAGCATCTATTTTTCAGTAACATTATTGAGGCATTTCTAGGCACCAAAATTGAAATCAGCATTTATATTCCTATCAGAATATTGGATCAGCAATATCTTTTATCATTTTAACGGATTTAGTTTTCTAGTATATGTTCCATTTTTGTAAAACAGCACCAAAAATACCCTGGTGCCTATGTAAAGGATACTCTCAAAAGTGTAAACCACAAGAAAAGTTGACTTATACATTTGACCCTGTGACCACTGCCAGTTGGCTTGGTGATCTAAATGTTATTTAATACATATATATATATATTTATAATCTGAATATTAGAACGAACAATAATAAAATACTATAGATATATTGCTCTGAACTGTTCCAAAGGGAAAAAAAAACTCAATAAAATCTTTATAGAGCACGTCTCAACATCAGCCAACTGTCAGGATATCATGGGAAAAGAATATTGCATAGCTGAGAAACAAAATATACAATTAAACACCATTAATATTTGAAACAAATACTAATAATACCTTTCAGTAGTATATTTCCAGAGTTAACAAAAAAAATAGATGTGCTCCTGTAAAAAATATGGAATATCAGCAAAGTTTCTTCCTTACTTAATATATCAAAATCCAGACTAGTCTTCTATATTTTATAAAACCTCAAAAAAGGAACACTAAGTTAGAAAAAAAAAAGTCTACATTAAATTGTATGCAAAAGATCCAAGTTTTTGTTCTATATATCAAATGAACCAATAAACTAAACTTTGTAAATTAATTTCAAAGTTGTAAATGTTAAAATGTGTATAAAATGAGTACAAGCAGTAATTAAATAGTGTGCTCTAATTTAGAAAGTAGTTTTTAATAAGGTACAACTACAGTTCTACAATGTCTATAAAAAACAAAAACAAACTTGTCAATATACAGTTAATCTCTAAAAAATGGGAAGACAGGAATTAGATATCAAAGTAAGTATCAAACCAGCCTAGGGGCAAGTCAAAAAAAGCATAAGTGTTAACAAGAGTGAGATCACTTAACATTGCTTTAAATATATTTACTATTATAAAAGTTTTCTTTCAAACATTTCTGAAAAACAAACTGTTGGATAAAAGCTTTTTGTGTTTCTGGTGTGTTCAAGATAAGTAAACATGAGATGCATGTACATACACACAAACCACTTTACTCAAAAAGCTTAATACTGAATTTAGTTCCACTTTTATCAGCACAATACTTGTCAGAATGAATACACACAAATCTTTAAAGAATTTGTACAATAGTGTTAACTGCTAGATTTATGAAGTTTGAGTTTTGGCGAAATAATGAGATTTACTGAAAAAAAAAATCAAAACTGGGAAACAAATTATAATATTTACAAATAAACTATGAAACAATTTACAACTCTGTACTCTTCTGAAAATCAAATGATTAAGTGGTGTATTACTTCTTTAATCTTTAATTCCAAAAATAACATGAAATGCAAACAAGTTGTATGAAAAGTTTTATCTTGCAAACAGGAAAAAAAAAATGCAAAAGTGGAAGACAATACTGGTGTGAAATGGTTTTGTTGGTAAGTTGTTCATTAAACACAATAAAAGATATTTAAATAGTGAACTGTCCAAACACTGATTTTAAGCATTCAAAATTTTTGTATACTATTAAAATATTATACTTAGAAAAATTAAATAAAGATTAGATCAAGACAGCAATATATTGAATAACTATTGATGTAAAATTAAGTTTTATTCTAATTCTGTAATACTGAGGTTCATTTCTATAAAATTCAATACAAGTGAAATGATGCACTCATTAAACCTTTGCTAAAACTTAATTTAAGTAATAACACAATAACAAAATGTTATAAGTAGTTAAACAGGGAAATAAAAAAATATTCTAAATTCCAATGTAAAATTAGACTTGACAGTTGACTAGGAAATGTAATTAGTTAGCATGTTAAAGTTAGGTTTAACAGTAAAATGTAATTACAAAAATTATCAGAACATCAAATGGTTGTATTCTTTAATGCTGAATTATTATTTTTTTGTACCAGAAGACGATTTACAAAATTAAATAGTTTAAGACATAACAAACATGGTGGTTGTTACAAGGCCAAGTAAACACAGGTGTTATACAACTGATAGTCTTTAAAAAGTCTTCTATCACTTGTTTTAAATGCCAATTCCTCTTAATCCCTTTTTTTTGTATTCAGTTATAAAAATGAACAAAAGCCGTACTTTGTAAAAATTACGATCAACTTGAACACACCAGTAACAAAACAAGCTATAGATTTCACAGTAATTCTAGCTGATCCAATATATATATATGTGTACCATGCTAATGCTGATCAATAATTCTTAGTTAAGAAAACTACACTATACAATGAAAGAGAATGATTATAATAATGAAATACAAATCTTGGAGTTTTAGAGATAGTGTTTTTTTGACTACTAGCTATTCTACTGTATTTCATAGGTGTTTTATACAATTAAAACTTTACTGGTCATTACTACATAAACCACTCCTAAAAAAATCATGGCACAAGGTATGTAAAAAATTTATGATCAAGGTTAAATCCTTAAGATTACTTAATATTAATGGTGTGAAAACATTAGAAAAAATCTAACAGTATAACCTTATGATCTCACTATATTGTATATCTATCTATCTATATATATAAAGTTAGCCAGTTTATGTACGAAGACGCTAAACTGTTTGCAAGTCTAACCCTTTGCTTGTACTTATTGTGCTTTTAAAACCAACATTAAAAAAAAATAATCAAACTTTATTTAAAGCCATTAGATCCTGTGAATATTGAACAATATCATATTTTTTGATATTAAAAAAGTAGAACAAATTAATTCTTATAAAATCTTAATTAAAGCAGTATTGAAGAATAACTGGGAGAAAAGGTAAAAATTCTAGGCAAACTGAAGCAATAAATCTCAAGGCATCACATAAATATAATGTATAAAAGTTGGTTAGATGTTAAGAAACTTGTAAGAATTACTATATATATATGTTTGTGGATTCTTCTTGAATCCAAATAGAAAAACAAACAGTAACAATATACATGCATAATAATAAACATTCAAAATTTTTTCTTTTCTTTCACTGACCCAACCATACTTTGGAAGTTTCCAACAAATTAAATCAAGAGAGTTATAAAATACAATATACTTTGTAAAGTCAACCGTCAGCTAGTTCTTGGTAACTCATTACTTGTAAAGTAAGCTTTAATTAACAAAGTATCTGACTAGATTTGTATGACAACATGATTCAAGCAGGGCAGGAAACCATGGTATGTAATGGAATGTCGGGTAAAGCACAGATTAACTTCAGTTATAGGAGAAGAAACTTAGTATTAAGCTGACTACCTAATCTCTCTATAATTAAACATAACAAGTGTGGACATTATAAGGCCACAGTGGTTTATTTTTTTATAATTTATCTTCATCCCTACAATAAAAGGTACATTCTCTCTCTTTTGTTGTATTTTTCTCATTGCTACTGATGTAGTACAAATGACTTTTTTGCACTTTATGCATCAAAAATTACCTACATGTAAAAGAAACATATATATATGTGGAGTCTGACTGATTCTTTCAATCAAACTAAACAATAAAAAAAGAGGTGATTGCTGAAAAAAAAAAAAGACAAAAATATCATTAAATATAATTGTATATGAAAAATTTATTAAAATAATAAAGAATAATACCAAATAAACACCTAGCACATTAAACAGTGGTGAGAAACAAATGGATTTCAAAATCAGAACCAGAAGACAATGGGGAAAATTGTATGAAATGTAAGATGTTGTAAACTATTACATAAACGTTTAATATGTGATATGACATTACAGTAAATAAGTTTAATATGTCATGTTTAATATGTGATATGACATTACAGTATTTCCAATTTGCTCTCACCAACACTCAAAAAAGCACATAAATGTGCGTCAGTAAATTCCGTGTACATTTATTTTTACTGAAGCCTTGATGACTAACTTGGGTAACAATTTACAGGTTAGTTATACCATCCCATAATAGGTTTCCATTCTTATTCATATTCTACATGTATTTTTGGTACTATCTTTACAGACATCTACGTAACAACTTGTCAGTATTATCTGAACCATGCTTGGTACCTAGTATATCTATTTGAATGATAAACTGAATTCCAAACAGTTATAGAAAAATGAACATGTCTGCAAAACTTTTCAATCTAACATGAAACTGAGTAACATAACCAGTCATTTATTTGGGAAGCCACAGGCAAATCTATAAATGTTTGCACACTAGGTGCTTGATAGTAGTGGTGAAATATATATAATATACGTCTTCTTATAAAGCATAAAACTGTATGTCAGAAGTATCTAAACTTGAGAGTAACACATATCTAAAGATACGAGTTAAATGAAGAAAAATTAAGCCACTTACAATGCAGCAAAATAGAAAATTAACAAAACTTCAAATGCTAATATTTCAAAATTTTGTAAAAAGCTCAAAATGGAGCACCAATCAGTATGTTATAATAAATTTACACAAAGAAAAAGTATTTGATCAATTACTTTAAGTACTTTACAACCTTTCACCTGTTCAACAAATGCTTGCTGCCTTTACAACTTAAGTAGTATTTTCCTTTTGATACCACACCTGGTCAGTAGATTTGTCACAGCTCCCACATAATAAAAGAATATGTATTATTATTATTATTTAGTTTTCCATGCTAATAAAGTGAGGAAGTGTAGAATTTCCTAAACTTTAATATTGTTTGTACTGAAGCCCCTGATACACAAGCTCTTCATAAAGAACAGCTGAAGTTAACACATCTGGTGATAGGGCAAGAGATCAAATCAACAAAAATATATGTGTATAGATATATATGTGTATATATATATATATATATATGTGTGTGTGTATGTATAGTCGTGAGCAAGCTAACAAATTTACTAGTGTTAATATCACAGGCTTCCTACTGAACGGAATGACCTACATCTCATTCGTCGTCTTTTTTTTTTTACAACATCAAAAAATTCTTTGGCTACCAGATGAAAAGGTGTTCATCTTGTTTTATATTTTTTTAAACAATTTCCAGAGCCCCCCCAAACTATGGACTACTGAGATAATACATTCTGTTATATATAAAATATGTGTTATATACCTTACAGATTGAAGGCAAGTAACAGAAATCTTCTGGTATTGAATGATTAGATAAGTTATAATTATTATGATGTTACACAACTAGAGTTAACATCTTTAACAAAACGTGGAACATTCATGTAAACTCCACAACATAAAAAGCTGTTCACATGACATACAATGTGTTTAGAATCAAGACATGATGGTTGTTTTTAGCCAAGGTAACAACATAACCTTCTGATGTTATCTTTAGGCCACAACATCGACTGACCTTAACATATGGACATTCAAACTCAGACAAAAGTGAACCTTCACGAGAAAAGACAACAACATGAAATCGATTCCCATGACTATCTCCAACTAAGACATCCCCAGCATCACTTATATCAATTCCATTGGGGAAGTTAGTTATGTTTTCACAGCCTATACGTCTCAGGTAGTGCCCATCTTCAGTAAAAACAATAACACAATGCCCCTTGAAATCACAAATGTAGTATTCTTTTCTAATGATGGCTATATCTGAAGGTTCTCGCATGTACTCACTGCAATCAAACCAGTGAAGCAAGTCACCATTCTCTGCAATAACAAAGACAGTAGGGGAGACACTGTCCACAGCTACAATGTGTTCATCACTGGTGATGGCTAGTCCTGCAACAATGTCAATATATCTGATAGCTATCTTTTTAATAAAATGCCCATTCTTGGTGAACAGTTGCATGCGTGATCTCTCATTGCCTCGATCACATATGACAAACTTGCCAGACTGTCGGATGACTGCAACCTAAAAAATTAAATCAGAACTGTTTTTAATGTTGTCCAAGTACAAATTCTTGTTGTTTTCTTCTTTTGTCAACAATATTTTTCTACAAAAGATTAATCACTACTTTAAATATTCAGCTGTATTTTTATTTTAGCATTCCTTTTCCTTATCCAGGTTATAAAGATAAATCACTCCACTCAAAATTGAACATCATTTAAAACAGATAGGTTCAAATTTGTTATCTCATTAAAATGGTTAGTACATCACATTCTATAGAATATTTAAGTAGTAGATTAGATCACATTTCACTTACAAATGTCAGAGTAAACATTTATTCTGATTATAATAGAATTAATTTTAATATTTCATCAGTAATGTCAACGATATAGACTTCAAAGACTAGTCTAGTGCATTATGAAAGGTTTCACCTTTGCTATGTTCCAGTGTAGTCTATATCACATGAAGGACAGGCGTTCTTTAGTATCCCAAACATGCAAAACGTTTTGGTCTACCAAATGTCAGAGTAGACATTTATTCTGATTATAATAGAATTAATTTTAATATTTCATCAGTAATGTCAACGATATAGACTTCAAAGACTAGTCTAGTGCATTATGAAAGGTTTCACCTTTGCTATGTTCCAGTGTAGTCTATATCACATGAAGGACAGGCGTTCTTTAGTATCCCAAACATGCAAAACGTTTTGGTCTACCGTGCCACCATGAACCATTACTACTGTTCTTCCTTTATTGGACTCAAGCCAACAGTTTAATGAAAATTTAATTATCATTTTTTTATTTGCATGTATCCTTAAATATGAACCTTGGGACTACAAAAGTAGTTAGCATCGGCTCCTATTGAAAGGCCATTGAGTTTTTTTCTGTGATTATTTTGGTAAAGTATATTATTTTCTTTTTTTACCAATATGTTATTTTCAATATGGCTGAGGTCATATCAGATTAATTTTACAAACACTGTTGATCCCTAATATCACATGAACAAATTCAAATGCTATTTAAAACAATAACAAAGCAAAGAAGTAACACATGGCAAGTTTGCAATTCATCAAACCCCAAGTTACTACATGAATTCATTCATACCCATGCTCTTGCAATGTGATCACATTCCTGCAGAATCTATTCATTAGAATGTCATTACTTCACCATGAAATAAACTTTAATTACAAAAGCTACATTAATTAAGGATCAAAGTGGTATTGCTGACTAAACATTTGAAATCCTCACACAATTACAACCACTCTTCATTTAGGTCAAACTTTGTAAAGGTGCTCCATGTACTTTTACCATTCCAGTAATTCTAAACCCGATTCTGTTTCTAAAATTATATATTTTAACACTAACTTTGTGTGCGTATGACTGATGTGCCTTAGGAATGCCCAGGAATAAGATAAATATTATGAGGATGTAAAGGGTGTTGTTAGACAATACAAATTTCCCTTATTGGGCATTTTATTTCTATTCGTCTTATATAAATATCCAAACTGTTGTCAGTAACACAGAAACTCGCACCTTGCGTGGATACCATAATTGGCCTTCCTCCTTTCCAGGAAAACCAAACTGATACTTGAATTCTCCCATTTTGTCAAAAACCTGAACTCTGTGATTATTGGTGTCAGCCACAATAATTTCCTCATCCAAACCCAAGCAAAAACCATGCGGTGAGCTGAACTGTCCTCTTCCTGGACCGAGTTGGCCAAACTTGCATCTTTAAATGAAAATAAATATAATAGATTATATACTGCTTTGAATGACAAATAATGCTGTCTGAAATAGAATGTATGATATCATAAATTCCAAAACTTAGATGTTAACATCAAATTTCATGATTTTAAAAGCTTCATAATTCAATTGTAAAATACCAGAGAAACTGGATCAAATAATTCTAGCTAATTTTTCAACGTATATATACACACACATACACTTAGAAAACAGAAACAAATAAGCATAATTCACCTGATCTGCATTGTGTTAAGTTTAGTAGTAGCACTGCGAGGTGGAGGATTATAGTTTCCTGGACCTCCTGTCCCAGGTGGCATAACTGGGAAAAAAAAATATATATATATATACGTAATTTGAAAAATAAACAATCAAAACATCATTTTTACTCAACAAAATTAGAAACGTGGATGAGATATACATATAAACAGAAAGAATTTAATATGGTCTAAAGCAAAAAAACTGTCAATGGAGTGTACATCCAAAAAAACAACACACACACTATTTCTCGTTTGTTTGAAAAGTCTAAATGTAAGCATAGTCTGACGTAAGATATACACATTAATAATAGTTTGCACCTTAAGGAGAAATGGTATCACCAAATTCTGATGGTTTATTACTGCCTTCAGAGCTGCTGTTGCTAATAGTTCAGGAATTCTCAATTTCTCTTCATCCTCATGCCAATTATCGCGAAGTTTTCATGAGAGATGTTAAACTTTCTCAAGACATGTTGTACAACACTTGAAAAAACCTAAAATTTTCCAGAAGCATGCTTTTTTATAGGTAATGAATTTATTTATTATTACTCTTACAACAGATCAAACTTAATCTTGTGGATAAACCTTGCCTAGATTTAAACTAACTTCTTACACACTGTGACTATCTTAAATACGATAATACTATACTTACAAGTTGTTGTGGTACAAGATGAGCATCCTTACATAATTGTTTTCATGACTGTTACAATGTGTGAAACTAACAGATATTACAAGAAAACTTTTTTTTCACTACATATGTTTGCTCAGTGTTGTTGAACTTAAAACCACAACAAAATCCCCCCTTAGAGAAGTTGGCAGATAGTTAACACTGTTATATACTTAGAAACACCAGGCTAGTAAATGCATTTAACATTTCTGACATTGCTATCAATGAAGTCTTCACCAAATTTACTACATTTCAGCAACTGCTTAACATGACTTATTTCATAATACAGTACAAAATAACTCTTTATAAACCTATATTAAAGCATGATTAATAAGTACTTTAAACAAAGGTCACTTAAACGATTCATGTACAAAACAACTAAAATGGGCATGTGTTATAAAAGTTGGTTTACAATTAGTACTCACTTAAACATTTTTTTTATCAATTATATACATAAATATCGATGCTTGGTTTGGTTTTGAATTTTGTGTAAATCTACACGATGGCTATCTGCATTACCTGTCCCTAATTTAGTAGTGAAAGACTAGAAGGAAGGCAGCTAGTCATCAGCACCCATCACCAATGCTTGAGCTACTCTTTTACCAACGAATAGTGGGACTGACCATAACATTATAATGCCCCCACAGCTGAAAGGGTGAGTATGTTTGGTGGGATGGGGATTCGAACTTCCGACCTTCAGATTGTGAGTCAAGCACCCTAACCATCTGGCCATAGAGTATCCATGAATGGCATATTTAAAAAAGTCCCTCAATAAGGCTTTGTGACTGAAAAATGGTAAATGTATAACACACATACAAGTAGCAAAAATTATAACATGACTTTTAGTCTTGTCTATTCAATTTTTAGTAATGGACTCATTCTTATTTCATGTTGCATAGTAACAGGTTGAAATATTTTAAGAATGCTACTCTATGCTCAAAGAAAACAATTATGAAACATTCAATACATTGAAAATAATAAATATTTAATACTGTTCAACTCTTTCAGCTCGGGCTCGGTCCCTGGGACTGACCTCGTAACCATTTTGTGCTTGTTACAGTTTTCATGCTATAACTTTTAAATTATTAATCAAATGTTAATGAAATTTAACAGATTATCAGTAAACATTACAATGGTTTTATATGCAAAATATCTAATCTTTTGATTAAGTCTTAAGATTTGTAAAGCAATGTTTCTTTCATGCCTTTTTTTTTCACATCTTGCCTATCTATCATGCAAAGTAATTTTCGTTTTAAGATTAAAAATACTTTTATGCATCAGAAAAATTTGAAATTTCACATGCAAAGTCTTTTATAATGTCCGGATAGTTAACAAACATTTCTTAAGAAAAAGTTTTACATTTTATCTGTTATTTTCAGTAATTAATCTCTATACAGGTTCAGTATATTTGACCAATTTCGCAACCACCATAAAAAAAAGAAAGGAAATAAGCATGAATTATGCCTCTTGCATTCTAGAATGCACACAAATTATAACACAAAAACATAAATGTTTAGATGAAATAGATTAAATCTCATAACATTATACATTGATATATATTTATTATATTGACCTTTCACCTATGCCTGGATAACAATACAGAAATTACAATGATGCGGCTCATGTGCACTCATTTTACCATAATAAATAACATAGAGGTGACCTTTGGTTTTTACAAAGTAACTTGTCTTGGCTGTGTTTTAGTTGACTGGTATTTTGTAAAATACAGTCACATTTCAGTTATTATACATTATGTATGTATATAGATTATTGCTATTTTGAAATAAGTTCTTAAAGTTATTTTTCCTAAAACCTAGAACAGTAAGTAAAGAAGTAAAGCAAACAATTATCTCTTCTAGTTACGACCTTCGTACTCAGTTGTTGCTAAGCCTTTAAAAATTTTGCACATGGAGGACATGGAACAAAATATTTTTTTTTATTTTTTCATGTATACTTTTGAATAACTAAAAAAAATCATAAATTCTACATCAATACCATAGAATTCTACTACAATTTATCAAGTTTAGTAACTAAGCTTTATTTGGGTGTAAAAAAATATGAAATTTCGACCAGACTAAAGACGCAACCTACCTTCTTGAAATCTTTGTTCGAAAGAACGAGATGGCATATGAACAATTTAAAATGGCTGAGAAAGCCACTAGGGGGACATTGTGAGCTTTCAATTGGTTATTCACATCACATATAGAATTAAGTGTATATAAGGGAGCATTTCCAAAAATGGAAAGAGGTGGGTGGGGTGCCACT